ATCCAGTGTTGAAAATATCTCTTCCTCAAGTTGTGAATTGCTTTCAGTAGGTTGCAGTCATTCAGAATTTCCCACTTTGTTACATCTCAGAATCTGAACTTCTCGGTTGACAGCTTGTCATATGTTTGGTTTCTTTATCCTGTCTGAGATAATCTTGATGGTCTTCTTTGTCCAGTCTACTTTGGGGTTAATTCTGTCTAACCATGGTAATCCAAGGATTATGTCTTCTTTTCCTAGGTTGGAAATTAGAAATTGAGTGGAATTTACTTTTCCATCAATTTTTGTCAGGAGTTGGGTATAAAACCTAATGGGTCCATTCTTGTTCAGGCTTTTGTCTATGTTTGAGACTTGGATCTCCTTATCCAATCTCAAGAGCGGGAGTCTGTATTTCTTCGCGAATCGTTCGTCCATAAAAATTCCTTGAGCGCCACTGTCAATAAGCACTTTTGTTTTGACGATTTTCTTTTCATTAATAATTCTTGTGTTAAGGCGCATTGATTTCAAATCGTTGTTAGGTACACCTCGAATTCTAAGAGCTTTAATAGAAAGTCGTTTAGAAGGTCTAGATGTCGTTGCTAGCCTTCTTACTGAAAACCCTTGTTTTCGTCTTCATTGTCTGATTCTTCTTCGGCTGGTTCATTTGGATCCTTATCCAAAGATTCTATAAAAGCAACTTTTGCTTCTTCTAATTCTTCGTCATTGAGTCCTGCCATGATGGCACAGACTCTCTGTGCGGCATTGGCATTCTTGTTCGGTGGTGGCATGATAGCTTTATAGGGAGTGGCAGGTTTTCTAAAATTGGATGTACTTCCTTTTCCAGTGTTAAGGGCAGGATTGGTCACATGGTCGCGAGACACGTGCCCTGTTTGTCCACATCAGAAACATTTCCCTTTCTTCATATATTTGTTTCGTTCTTCGATAGTTAATCTGTCAATATCCATGGCGTCTGGATCTCAAGGTCTGGGAGTATAGGATGATCGAGGGAGTTGGCGAGGCATGCTTCTAGTTGGTTGCCATCCCATAACTTTCGTCTTCCATGCTTGATTCTTATAATACGACTTGTCGAATTTCCTAGCATCTTCCGTGATGGCTTTAAGTGTCTCAGGTGGTTCTTTCTGTGTTTCAATCTTTTCCTGTAACAAGGGATTCAAGTGTTTGAGGAAAAGCTGAGAGAGAACCGGGTTCTCCATGTCTCCTGTTAAAACATATCCTGCTCGATTGGTGAGTGCGGTAAAGTCGAGGATGTACTGCTTGAGCTGTCTGGGTTTATGTTTAAGGATTGAGAGGTCTACTCTCACTTTGTCTTTTGTCTTTCTGATGTCAAATGTTTTGTTCAATAATTTGACAAAGTCTTTCCATGTGGACGTCATAACGAATACTCCTTCAGTATTCGTGTGGGTGTCTGTAAAATGTTCTGCCTAGTCGGCAGCTCTGCCTGTGATCATAAAACTGATGGCGAACTGGATCTTTCGCTTGTTGGTGCTGAACAAGTGATTGTTGACCTCCATGTAGGTCTGTATCGTTCTAAGCCAAGTCTTGTACTTGTCTTCATTTCCATCAAAATCTTTAGGTGTGCGGCATCGGTCACCTTTTGCGTTGGCAGCATCGGCCATTTCTTGTCTTGGTTCTGTCAGGTTCTCGGGTTCTACTGGTGTGTCGGTTTGTCTGGGAGTTCCAGGTACTGCTGGTGACTCGGGGTACCGGTTTAACGTGAATGTGTTAAACTGTTCAACTGCTTGAGTTCTTTCGTCGGTAGGTGTGATACCTAAATCTATTGGTGTAAATGCAGGTGTCAGGATGATTGGTCCAAGTAGCGGCTGTACACTTCTGCTGGGTGTTCTGGTGATCGCTGGTGATCATCTGGGTGTGGTTCGTCTGCTGAAGGGTGACATTAATGGTCCTAGCCCTGTTATTCGTCTATATCTCTCTGTGGTTGATACGGGTGTCAATGTTCCTGTTACTGGTGTCTGTGATGCAGGGGGACTGTTACCCTCGTCTGTGCTTTCGTACTTTTCTTCACCGGATGTGAAGGTGTCGGTTCTTGGTTCGGGTTCTGAGTCTGAGCTTTCTGCTGGTGCTCGTAATGTCCAACGGTTCGATTCTCTTTGAGCAGCCATGGTTTC